CCTTGGTTTGGGGCTTCAGTGTGGGGTGAGGGGTGACAGACACAGAAACGCCGAAAGACCTCCTAGGAATCAGGTTATGGCTTATCAGACCGGCTTTTCCTGGGCGAAATGGAGGTGATTTAAAAATCGGCTGCGGGTTGCGTCTCCCCTTCGCTCACAGTTGCTGCAGTACCTGTATTCGTGTGTTACCTGCCCGTGGGGATTGCAATTTGCCTTCTTAAAGTCTTTCAGAGTGGAAGATCTCACTGTCAGGGGCTGCTTTTTCACTTTGCATTCAGGATCAATTAATTAATTAATTAATTAATTAATTTTTACTTACTCCTCTTACTTATAACCCTAAAAAACCCCCAAAATATTACTTTTAACTATCCTTTTAGTTGCAGTACAGAGCGTCAGATTGTTTCCCAAGAACAGCAGCAGCCGTATACAAAGCTGAACATTTACAGCCCCGAGTCTCTTGCCATAAACCCATCACATCGGTTCTTTAGGCCTCTCCGGACTTGTTTGGATTTTAGTTTTATTTCCCCAGCAGGACACACTCACCGAAGAACATTTCTCTTGTCCTCACACTTGACCTGTCCTTTTGCCCAGTGGAGGTTGGGTTTGGTTTTTTGACATGACACTCACAGAAGGCATATTCTCTTTGGCTTCAGATTGTTGTTTGTTTTTTTCCCCAGCTGAAGGAATATCAGCAGAAGAATAGCCCTGGAGCAACTGCAGGAACTAAGAAAAAACGCAAGACTAAAGAAGGCAGTCGACCCGAGACTCCCACCAACGATGACCGGCAGTCTCCAGAGAACGTGAGTGTCTCCTTCTTTCTCCCACATCATTTGCCAACTCCTGGTTCTGCAGACGGCATGACCGGAGCCGGGACGCGGTTACGCTGGTGTAGTAGGTGAAGGGTGAAGACGCCTGCGTTGCCAGCGTGTGAAGTAGTAACAACAGTGAGTAACTGCCTCTGCTGGAAGGCGCACGCTAGAGTCAGGGTATGTGCCCAAGCGGTGTCTGATCACGCAACCCTGATGAGCCGGAGGATGTCGGTTTCTGTGGCTGCCTTTGATTGACGACTTCTCGCTGTCCTTTTTCTGAGCCGTTTCTCTTTCCCCTTTTCTTTCGCCTCCTTTAGATTCAGAACATTCTGAAGGTGCTGGTGTCAGACCTTAACCGCTCCAATGGGGTAGCCATACCCTCATTGGACAAGAGGAAGGTGAGGCAGTGCTCGTGTCCCTCGCAGTGACTCGCTCTCCCTGCTGCATGCTTCGCGTTCTGTTTACACTGACCTCGATTTTTGGGATGGAGCCTTGTCCTGACCAGTCCACCGTCCCTTGCTTGTGTTTCGTTGCTGTTTTTTTCATCAACATGAGCTCTTTGTTACCACGTGTTCCCATTGCTTGTAAGTGCTTGTTTCCTTTTGGTTTGTGTCAAACGTAATGTGTGAAAAAGCGAACCTTGTCAAAAACCCTTCTTTGGGATGGTTGAGCTTTGAGGAAAACCAGCCCCTCAGGGGAGGCAGCAGACGACTGCTGAGGAAAACGGCACTAGGAGCAGGCGGGGTTTTCTTCGTCTGTATTTCTCCTCTTGTGTGTGCCACTGCTTTATTTCCCAGGGTCTTGTTTCTGAAGGGCCTGCTGCTGCTCACCTCCGGGCAAGCAGCTGCCCCGCGTGAGGTGTCTGGTGACTCCAGCCAGCCCGTTTTGTGACAGGCGATGAGCCCTCCGCAGGTGATGTACAGTCTGGCGAGCGCCACGGGTTTAAATATGCTTGGGCAGAAGTTGCATACTGCAAGTCAGGCATTTACAGGCTTCGGAGTCTTTATATTCCCAAGCTTCTGAAGAGGAAAGGGCAGGAAGTATGCCAATAAGCAATAGAAACGTGGTCAGGAGCAAATGTAACCAAACCACCTTCTTAAAAAATATATTTTCGGTCACTCTACTTCAGTAGGGCTCAAATTGTGGTAGAAACTCAGAGAAGTCACGTTTTGTAGCGCAGAATTTTCTTCCCATTTTGTGGTACCGAGGCTCTGCTTTTCGTTGTCACTTGCATCGTTCGTTGTTTCCCTACCGTTGTTTCACTCCAGCTGTCATCACGTAACTCATTACTGCGTTGGCTGCATACCCCTGTCTCTCCAGCAGTAAATACAACCGTAGTAATTACCAGGGGTGCCAGGTTGATGCAGTGGGACCTGCACGGGGTTCACGCTGGACCCCTTTCCTCCTTTCCGTGTGACAGCGGAGCAGCCGCTCTGCCCCGTGCACGGCGGGAAGTTGCTCCACCTGGACGGTGAAGGTGGCGTTACCGGTAGAACTTGAGTGACATGAAGACTCCCTGCAGGCGTTGTGGGTGCTGGCTGTGCCTGTCCAGCGCCAGGAGCACATTTTGGTGGAAGCTTCACTCCTGTCACGGGGACTATTTTCACTTAATACTCCTAAGTGCAGTTCAGACCTCAGAGGAAGCGGCTCGATTCACACTGGAGGGTGAGATGAAGCTGCTGCTGGGATGGCATTTCGTTTTGCAGTGAAGACCTGCCTGTGTCTACAGTTTTAGTCCCGTTCTGAAAGTGAGGAATTCATTACTTCTCCTCATTCTTGTTTTCCCAGATGTTTTTTTTTCCCCTCTTCCTTCGCCTGGAGAGATACATTTTGATCCGAGGCGCTGTTAGGGAATTTGTGGATTATTGCATCTGGGGTTTTAGGAATGCTTTGAAAACTACCCTTTAATTGCAATACGTAATGAAAGAAAGATTTCTCTTTCCAGTCGCCGTCTTGTACAAATCCTGAGTCAGGAAAATGCTGCTCAGAAGCTCACTTAGCGCTAATAGGGCAGAAAAGCCCATCATTAGCATCCGAGCTGCTGCTGCCATCGGTGTCTTCCTGTGAGCCTGACCCCTCCCAACTCACCGCTTCGGCTGTTTTGGCTGTGAAACGCAGAAAACCCAACTGAACGGGAGCCTTTGTGCGAAAGCAAATGGATTTTACTGTATGCTGAGCCGAGCAGGATTACCACCTTTTCATTCAACACCATGAGAACCTCACAAGTGTCTTGCTCCTAACTCTGTTTCCAGCAAATTCAGCTGTTCAAATAGGGTTTTTTAAAAAAATTATTTCAAAACTGCTTATTGTGGAGAAAGGAGGAAGGAGTTCTTGTGGTTAAGGCACGTTACTGGTTTTTGCCTCTTGAAGCGTTAAGCAAAAAGAATGCCCTAATCAGAGGCAATTGAGGAAACATTTTGGAGACCTTCTGGAGAAGGTGTTGCTTCTGCCACATTCTGCAGTGTCTGAACCAATAAAGGGGGAGTGATCTGTAGCTGGAGGAAGTCAGGGAATTCCTGACCTGACATACATTGCTCCTGGAGAGCACGAGTGCCTGTGCTGCTAAAAAGAAATGGAGAAAATCCTCTCTGTTGCCCTCTGCAGTCTGCCAGCTCATTGCTTTCATTGGGTCTGTCCTCACCGTCCCTGTCCTCTCCTTGCTGCTTGATTCACAGCTGAAGTGCTGAGCAGGTAGATGGGGAATGCCAAGGGATTTCCTGCTTCCTGTGGAGTGCCAAGACGGACATGGTGGAAGGAAGAGGGAACTCTTCAGGTGGAACTGCAGAGAGCTGCAGGGTACTGGGAGGGTCGAATGTTGGAAGACTCTCTCGTTTGCTTCGAGTGTTGTTAAATGATGATGAAACAAACTTCATAAAACACAGGACACTGCTCTGGGCCTTTGTGGCTCTCTGGTGCTGTACAAGACAGACGCAGTTGTCCAGTTCACTGTGGCTTGGCAGAGGTGTCATCGGATGCCGTTCATCCTCCCACAGAGGCTGGATGACAACTTGCATCGCCGTCCAGAAATAGGTTTTTGGCCCTTCTCTCGTCTCTTTAGATTCTTCATGGGATTCGCAGCTCGGGCAGGGCCACGGGCACCTGCTCCCAGCCACGCTGAGCTCGGCCTGTTCATAAATGTCTTGTTTCTAACCTGGTGGTTCGTGGCACGCCACAAACTTGAGAGTTTCAGATGCAGCCTTCCAGTTTGACTAACCCAGTTTTCGAGCAGTCACTAACCTGTTCTTTTCCACCTTAATTTGCGTACAGCGATCCGTGTTTTCCCCAGACGCGTCCGGAAGGTACTGCTTCTCGAAGCAGAGGGACTGCCATCTGCCTTTGCCCTCGCTCGCCTCTTGGTGAGCCCTCTGCCGTCAGTCTAGCGCGTGAACTTGGAGCTGGATGACGTTACTGCCCCACGCCAAAGCCCGTCTGACGGTGGGACACGGGTTCTCCAGTCTGGCTGCGAGAGGGGACGGGTCTGGGACACTGAGTGTTCCTGGCTGGATGCAGCCAGCGCTTGGCTCTGGGGAGAACACAGATTCCCTTCCACGCGTTTCTAAAGGACGGATCGTTGACGTCTGTTTAGTTCCCACAGGCAGATGCGCAAGGCGAGGTGTTGACGCGTGTGTTCCTCCGTTTTGCACGAAGGCTGTAATTCCTGTGATGTCTTTTGTGACAGGCGTACTTTGACAGTGATGTTGCCACTCGTAATGCCGATCCGCTTGCTCCCGATGTCCCTGTGCTGTCTAACAGCAACAGCCTACCTAGTTGTGGTTCTGTTCTGCCTGCTCCCGGGAGCATGCAGCTGACACAGGTTTGTGAACCATCATCAATATTCCCGTTGATCCACTGAATATTGGTTAGCCATACCACATTTTTTCTGAGAAAGACAATCTTAATAAACACCACCTGAGCCATTCAGATTGTCTCCTTTCGAAAATACGACGTTCTCCCCGCCATCTAGCCAGCGTCTGTCTGCGAGAGCAGAGACAGTGCTAGTGTGCATATGCACCTGCGTCTCCCAAGGCTGCAGTTTCCCTTCCCCATCTCTCCTGTTTCATCCTGTTTCTCCTGTTTAAACTGAAAGTGGGAAGGTTTGGATTAAGTATCAGGAAGAAATTCTTCCCGGGCAGGGTGGGGAGGCACTGGGACAGGTTGCCCAGAGAAGCTGGGGATGCCCCATCCCTGGAAGTGTCCAAGGCCAGGCTGGATGAGGCTTGGAGCAACCTGGTCTGGTGGAAGGTGTCCCTGCCCATGGCAGGGGGTGGGACTGGATGATCTTTAAGGTCCCTTCCAACCCAAACCATTCCATGATTCTATGATTAGCAGAAAGTGCCCTTAATAAGACAGAAGGTCCCCAGTCAGCTCAATCTGCATTTCCTTTCACTACTCAAAGATTCAGTTAAAGTTTTTCCCAGCAAAGCATTGATTATACTGATAAATAGCAACAGGAATCTTAGACTGTACCACAAGCTCCTCCATTCCAAGACACCCGGGCTCACACCACTCAGAAATTACGTGTAAGCCAGGACTGAGTCGGTGGTTTTAAGTTCATCTTTGGGAAGTGGTAATTACAGGTGCTGTGGAAGCCCAGCCCAGGCGTGACCAGGCCTTAGTGACACGCTCACAAGTGGGACTCCCATCTTCTTTTACAGGCTTGTAAATTTTTGTGTTTCAATCCACAGATTCACGAACCTGAGGATCATAAAAATGCTTTGGATGAGAACAGGTGAGTGTCTGTGTTTATCAAACGGCATTGCAACATGATGCCGAAGTGTCCAACAGATTAAGGTGTTATTCCTCCCCAGTGCTGTTCTGACTGGGGCAGTTCTCTGGCAGGAATTTCCATCCCAAGGTCTTTCTTTGTTCCCAGGTCTTTATCATCAACAGAAAGTCTCCGTCAGTTGTCCGAACAGCTCAACGGCCTGGTTTCTCAGGTACGGCCGTGTTTTGATCCACTTGTCCTAGGAGTTCTCTTGATGTTTGATGTGGAGCTTTAAGCAGTCAGCTCAGGACTCTTCAATCGCAGAGGTGCCTGCAGCCATCCTACTAAACAATAAGATCTTTTAAGCCTTGAGAAGTGAAAAATCCTGGTTTAGGAATGTCAAATTTCAGCAGTAGGAAGAGAAGCAGAGCGGGATGAATGAACAGCATGTATTCACGGAATGATGTATGCGTGATTTAGTGGACATGAGTCTGAAGGCAGCCTGCATGATTCACATCAGCTTGTGGCAGTGTTTTCTGTGCCCATCCGTCGTGCTTTGCAGTGAAAAGTGCTACAAGAAGTAGTAGTATGATAGTCAGTTTTTACTTAATAGTCATTTATTGCCTTGGGGAATAAAACTGACTGACTTGACTGGTTTACTTCTAGTCTACGTCATATGTGAATGGGGAGAGTGCTGTTCCTTCCACAAATATTAAGGAAATGGAAGTAAGTTGCTCTCGGTCTTTTTTTCTGCCTTCTTCCTTACTTGCTGCTGCTGGTCACTTAGTGGGACTCTGCATCCAGCGGTGTTAATGAGCCCTAATTGAGTGCTTCCCGTGCATCGCTGCGTAGCGTCATCTTGTGCTGTAATCGGGTAGCTGTGGTCAGCAGCAGGAGGCAGGTATCAGGGGCGCTTCTCGTTTGGCACTGGGGATGATCTGGCTCCTGTGCCACTGCAGTTCTCAGTTCTGATGCACTTTCATGTCGGCATGAAGCCTTGGCAGAAGTGGATGAAATGTGTTGACACCCCAGCTGCTTTTGTTGAAACCGTAGATGTTGTTTTGTTTGGAGAATCTGGTTATATCAAACTGTGATAATGATTTATTTTTCTGTCCTTTTTAATTATTGCTTTTTTCCTCCCCTCCTCCTCTTCTGCTCCTTCCTTCTTCTCCTGTCTGCATGTGCCCGTCAGACACGTTACCAGGAGCTGGCAGTAGCCCTGGATTCCAGCAATCTAACTAACAAACAGCTCGTTACAAAGATAGAGGAATTGGTAAGAAACAACCCAACCAACCAGTTTGACGTTGTCTTCGCTGCTCCTCCATGCTCTCTGCGTGTCTGCAAGGTTATGGGTTCCCTCGTAGTGCCACAGGGAAGGCTGCCTACGCAGCACTTCGTAAGGAACAAAATGTGTGGAAAACCTCTAAAGAGGCTCAGAGTCTAAGGCCACTCGTGAATGTATTGGCTCATCTGAGGAACGAGAAACAGAGTTTTGTTGTTTCCATCCAAGTGTGCTCTGTTGAGCTCATCAGGCCTTCCTGGGATGACACGCATCCCGATGAAACGGCCTGGTCCTGGTCTGAGTCCTCGAAATGCAGGATTCTGGTGCGGGCAGCACTGTGAGAACCTGTTTCTGCAGGTGGTGATGCTGTTCTGGATGCATCAGCAGAGTGGGAGCAGGAGGTCTGAGAGAGCCTGGGGCTGGTTTCTGATCATATCCTCGGCGTCTCTTGGCACGATGAATGAGCTGCTTTGTCCTGCGGCCTGCATGGATTCTCTTCAGCTTTAACGCTGCAAGAAATGCAGCTATGTGGATGTGGTTCAGGCTGAAAAGAGCCTTTCTTGTGTGAAATAATTTTCCCCATTTTGTTCCTCTCTAAACCTCCACTTTTCCCAAAGCTCAGCATTTCCCAGCATACCCCACGACCCCACTGTTGGTTCGTTTTTGGGTTTAAGTTATTTTTCTTCCCGTTCTGTTTCTTTTTGTCTTTTTGCTGGGCTGGAGGGACCTGCTACAGGGCACTGCCCACCCAAGATTCTCCTTGTTTGCCTGCTTTTCTGTTCGCTTGGAACCGCCTGGGGCCTTGCTTTCGCTTTTCCCGGTTATGCTGCGCACAGGCACGGAACCAAAACCTCGAACTCGTCACCCTCCCACCCGCAGTCGCGTTTCCAAATGCACTGAAGCAGTAGTAAAGAAACACCTTGGCCAACATCCACGCTTTGGGAAGGGGAAAGGGTGCTAATTACGTGGTTACTTAGGAGGCATCTGTGAGAAGGCTGCCGGGGGGACAGCAAACGCAGCGGCGCAGAATCACCCGTTTCTCCGCCTTTGGCTCCGGCGGCTCTCGTGCCGCCTTCTGCAGAAGCCTGCCAACCTGACTTAAAGGCCAGTTGTCAAGTGGGATAAGGGTTGAGATCTCTGTTAAAGTAAAAGACGACAGTTTTTTTTCGTTTTGGGGGTTTTCTTTAAAGCATTTTTGGTGATTATCCTACTACACCAAGATTACTACGATTAATTTCATAGGTGTGGGATGCAAGTTGAACTGAAGTTGGTGGATGCTCGGATATGGGATTTGGGGATTCAAATTTGGGTATTCAGTGTTTGGGAAGAACTGGTAAGGTACTGAGCAATGAAAAACCTCTCTGGCATCTAAAGTACATTCGTGAAGGGAGCCCCAAATCTGTTATTTTTAATAGCTAAGACGAACTCCCTAGTCTTGTACAGAAGGGATAATGGAAATTCTGTTTGCATTAACTGGGCATGTATCCTGCTTCGCTAAAGTGTAAATGTGTTTCAGCAGTAGGAGAGTATTCTCTCTTAATTCTGGCACATCCCTTTTCTCCCGTAGAAGCAGCAGAACCAAGAAGCAGTGAATCAGCTGGAGAAGGTAAAGTGTGTCCTACTTTTGGAGAGGTACAGAAATAGGAACCTGTTTCTCTGAGGAGCAGAGAGCATAGCAGACCGTGGCGCAGGAACGTGTGATCTCGTCTGCCTTAGCTTCAGTTTCGTTTGTAGCCTAAGGTTGATTAGTTTGACTGCAGGCCTGGCAAGTAGCGTTCTTATTTTGACAAAAGCTAATATTTAAATGCCTGAGTACTGGAAGAGTGCAGGGGAGGCAGGAGATTACCGCTTAAGTCCTTGCCAGCAGCCTGCATTCCAACAACTGCCACGTTTGTGCTAGCAGTGACTGCGCTGTGCTGTCAGTGCCATTCCAGGGCGGCTGGATAATGAAGTGGTTCAAGTCATGGAAGACTGAAGTATGTCTTTGAAAATGCTGGTATGGTTTCGATGCTAGAAGTACTGCCCACGAATCGCTGCGTTTTTAGCTTGACATAAAACAACAAGGGTTAACTGTTTACATCTTTGTGCTGAACAGACGTCGTTTCTTTATACAGGAAAAGAAGGAGTTTGAACAGAAGTTGTCTAAAGAGCAAGCAGCGCTGAGGGAACAACTACAGGTAAGGCAGAGCCTCTATTACAGTATTATCACCTGGCTTCTGCTGTTTTCTGGGTTACTGGCCACTCACAGCCTCTGTCCCGGACGCCGTGAGTCAGTCAGCCAGACTGTACTGAACTGCAGGAGCTCTTTACCTTTACTGAATGACCCTTTTGTGGCATCAGGGATGTGGCAGTTACAAAGAAGTTTTGTGCTGAGCTGATTTTCCTTTCCCAAAGGTTCATATCCAGACCATTGGAATTCTAGTTTCCGAGAAGTCCGAGTTGCAGACGGCCCTCGGACATACTCAGCAAGCCGCACGCCAGAAGTCAGGTAATTGACTGCGAGCACCCCGGCTCAAGCGGTTGGTTAAACTGTGCATTTCAAGTCACAGGCGTGACAGTGGCTGGCAGCCAGCTCACAACACTCGCTGACTCCTTAATGAGCGGTACTTGGCACCGTCACTGCGTCTGTCATCGTAGCTGCCCCCAAGTGGGAGCCTGTTGATCCGTCCATGGCAGTTGAGGTTCCTTTGTGCATCACTAAAGCCCTGTCAGCGCTGTTTGGGCCTGCTGACGACCTCAGACTGTTCCTTTCTGACTTTCTTCTGATTCTTTTAAAACTGTTCCCTTTTCTCCAGCCTCCCTCCGGCACGGCTGTCATGTTAATGTAGGCCTTGCCCACGCCTTTCCTTCTGAACTAACTTTGAGCAATTTATTCCATTAGGAAAAAAACCCCAAACCCCAACCAAACCCAAACAACATCTTGTCTATTGTTCTACAAAGGAAGTTTCATCATCTCCCTCCAAAAGCGAGGAAGGTAGTCACAGAGAGCTGTACTGCCCAGAGGGGCTAGTGATTCACCTGCAGAGGCAGGAGTGGAACCGGGTCTACCCTCTGCAAAGCTCTGCGCTGCCTCAAGAGCTTGTTGACAAAGCAGAAACTGCTGTTCAGGCAGTTCCAAAAAACTCATTGTGGTCTAGCCTCAACTGACTCTGCTCTGACTTGTTCAGGAGAAGCTGAAAACCTGGCTGCTCGTTTACATTCATCTCGCCAGAGGGTATCGGAGCTGGAACGTACTTTGTCCTCCATCTCTATGCAGCAAAAACAGTCAGAGAAGGTAAGAGCCACCTCTGTTTCTGCCTGGCCAGCACCTCTGCCTTTGGCTGTTTGCTTCTCACTACACCGCCGCAAAGGCTCTAGTCCCTGCTTAGAGAAGAGGCAGAAATTAACCTTGTTAATTGTTAATTAACCTCGTAAAGCCCTGTATTTTTCATGATCAAGGCAAACTTAATTCAGGTTTCTGTGACCACTAATCATACAGTCCAGCTGCTGCCTTGAGATCTGGCACCTTACTCCATTAGCCCTGGAGCTCCCCACAGCAGCGGCCTCGCCGAGAGCGCGTCCCAGGAGAGTCTCCGTCAGACACTTCGGTATTGATGCTGGTCCTGAAGTGTGCAGAAGTAACCTCGTGTTCAGTTAGCAGCATCGCGTTCCAAAAGACCGAGCAGACTTATTCCTGGCAAATTCAGGAGGTTCCGAGCAAACCTGTCCTGAGGATTTTGCCAAAGTTGTGACCTTTTCTGCTTTAGCTGATCTGCTAAAGGTGAAATAGTCTTTTTCGAACATCTTATTTGTCTGGCTAAAGTCTGTAGATGAATCAATAATTTCCTTTTTTCCAGCATAATAAAGAGTTGGTGAAGGAGCGAGACAACCTGAAACTGGAACTGTACAAACAAAGGTGAGTTCTCAGCGGAGCCACAAAACATAACAAGGGGCACGGACCACGGGTGGCAGCTCAGAAGGTTGGATATTCAATTTTTTTAAAAAGTCACTAGATGTGATGTTTCTGTGATTCTGGTTGCTGCTGCGGAGAGCTGGATTGTCCATCTGTGACGTGGCCATCAGCAAACCCGCAGCACGTATGGTGATGCCACTTCCATATTCGTTGGTTTGTTTCAGCAAAAGTGGTGAGGAAATAAAGCAGCAGAATTCGGAGCTGTCAGAGAAGCTTCACTCCCTGGTCTCCAAGAACTCAGCTATGAAGTTGGATATGGAGGATTTGCATAAGAAACTGGAAATGGCTGAGCTGATGATTCAACAGGTAACCCAAACGCTTTGGGGATGTCAGGGCAGATGACACTGATCATTGTCAGACTTCGCTTCTGACAGCGGGGGCAAGACTTAACTCGTTTTTCAAGGAAGGTGCAAAATCCCATCAAGACAATCCTCTCGGTAAAAGGCTTCCGGTGAAGCCTCTGCGGAGCAGGAAGTCTGTATTCCACGGGGTTGGAGCAGGAGAGGGAAATACACTGTGACCTTGGTCTGCTACACGGTACGGGAGGGTGCAGAGACGCTGACTCTCCCTGCTTGTCCCTGTGCAGCAGTTTGGTTTCCGCGCTGCTGGGCGGTCTCTGAGAACCAGCTGAGCGGGGCGGTGCTGGTCCCCAGCCCGGCGGCAGGTGAACTGTGCGGGGCAATGCGGAGGTCGGCTGGGGAGAGCTGAGAGCAGCGGCCGGTTACAGCGGGCGTGCATGAAGTGTGCTGTTAGTGCTCAGGGTGCAGCTGGGTGTTAAGGTGCCTGCGAGGGTCTGAATGTGCCCATCTCACCCGGGTTTACCGGGCCTGGATGTGCCCAGTTCAGCCC